GATTACAAGTTAAAAGCCAAAGGTACAAATCCCCTTCATGGAAATTAACCAGCGAGCTAATGAGAAGTAAGCCACCAATACAATCGCTCTACGCCGTATTGAAAACCGTCCAACAGCTCTATCCCATGCCGTCTAACCTCCTCACGAATTTCGGTAAGCAACTTCCTACGCCATACCGCTGTTGATACACAGTCAGCACTCCAGCCCGTCCGTTCGTCGCAGCTGTTTTCCCCCGCCATAACTCTACCTCCACGCTTACCCCGTCTCCCCGCCTATTTTCACCGACTGCCGAACGGCTTTTCTTAGTTTCTACTCACTTGACTGCATTACGCTATGAAAAGAGGATCTATACGAGTTGTAAACTAACTTAACCTAACCTAACCTAACCTAATTCGGATAAGCATCAAAGGTCTGCGAGAAAAGCCTCCAGTTAGCCATGCGATAATGGTGGAGAGTCGGGGTAAGTGTGGGGGGAGNCTTTATCGAAAGTGGGGAAGGGGCTAGGCTGCATGGAATAGAAATATTTTGGGGTTTAGCGTGTGGGTTACGACCATTGTTTTGGCGGCTTGCAGGTCATTGGCTCGCTGGTTTACATCCATGAAGGAATTTAGTCCCTGTGGCTTTCAGCAAGTAATCATGTTGGCTAATTTGCTATGCAGCATGCTTGCGCACGGGGTGAAGTATGAAAATTATGCTGGTATTGGGCAATGCTGGGTTATTTCAGTCGTCCCCGGTAGCACAGTTTTCCGATTCAATTTGTGCTCAGTTTCAATGATTCTGGCGACAATGGACGTCTCGGACAAATTTACGGCCGCACCCGCGGCCAGGCCGCATTTGTAACACTTGTAACTCTACATAACTCAAAATACTGCCTTCTCCATGGCACGTCTCGGACAAATTTACAGCCTAACTCTTGGCCGGTCTCCCGAAATTTAGTGAGCATGGAATATCTCCCAAAGTAATGAACGTAGCTCGATAAAACTGGTATACGTATTCATTAGGACCTAACTGTGATGTTTAGCACCTGACAATTCTTTTCGATTTTGCCTTCGTTTGCGAATTATACGGCTTTATCTAATCAAAACTGACCCAACTGTAATAGGCATTACTGAGGTCAAACCCAAAAACTGTAGATATTCTGTACAGGAGTGTGAAATCGCCAAAGGAGGGTATGACCTATTTCACAACTTAGACAGTGAGGGTAGGGGGCTGGCCCCTTAT